CAAGGTGACATTCGCGCAAGTGCCGTGTGTTGAGTGGACACAGGTGGGGGGTGGATGCCAGGGAGACGGCTCAGACCCGTGTCCTGCCTCCACTGGCCAGGCTGCCGGAGCCCCCGCTGGCGTCGGGACACTTCGCGCCTGTGCTCTGAGAAGCCACAGGGTGGCCCGGAGGGGTGTGTGCAAGTTTTAGAAAATACTTACAAATTCACTAAGTCCAGTACATGTTGCCATGAAAAATTCACTGAAAGGAACGTTTTTCAAAACAAAATGAGATGAGGGCCATTTAAAATTTTAATCTCTGGCTCGTACCGAAACAGCCGGATTCTCCTATCTGGTTCCGAAAACTTGTGTTACATTGTCTGGGCTGAAGTACAGGGAGAGAATCCGGCCTGAAGAGACAGGTAGACAGGGAGCTGCAGAAAAGCTTGGTGACAGCCCTTCACGACTGCGTGCGGTGGTGACCCTGTGCCCAGTCTGCGGTCGCGGCCTCTGAGCGCTGGCCGTGACGGCCTAGTCGGCGCGCAGCCGCTGTGCTCTGGCTTTGCAGTCGTGGCTCTTGTGTCTCTCTCTGCATGCCTTACACCGAGCGTGGGCTGCTGGGGAAACGCCGGCTTCTGGAGTTACGCAGCTGTCCCCACTGCCACCCCCAAACCCGCAGACACTCATTAATGTCACTGATTTCATCGGGACCACGTGGCGGGGAATCCAGACTTTCCTAAGCTCTCGTGTTGCTTAAAAGCCCACATTTGATCAGGGACAGTGCTTTGTTCTTTGAGTGACGGCTTACTTCACTTTGAGACGACTTCTGCCGAATGCCCGTCCCGGAAACACCGCGTGCCATGAGGGTCTCGGCCGCGAGGCCCGCAGGAGGCGCGGTCACTCAGCACGGGTATGAGGTCTTCCCTCAGGACCAGCGTTTTCACGCAGCCGTGCTGACACAGTGCTCAGACAGACCCGAGGGCCGAGAGTGAACAGCATTAGTCTTCAGGGCCTCGTCAGGTCGCGTGTGGGCGTGCCCACCGCTGCTGCGTACAGTGGAGCCAGTGTCCGCGCGCAGAAGGCAGGGGACAGCCTCTGCCATGAAACGCAGCTGGCGTCAGTAAGTGAAGATCCCTTAAGCCCTGAGCAGCTTCGAGCGTGCTACGCGGGAGCGAGTCACCGTGGGTGCTGCAGTGCCGCCAACAGGACGCTCCCGTGCCGGGGTGACACCAGCAGGCCGCCTGAGCGCCGCTGCTCCTCGGGTACGCACGGGCGCGACTGCCGGCCTGTCGCACAGGGCACAGCGCCGGGCGCCGCCCTGAGCACTTTGAAAAATATTAAATTCTCTGTCAGTCGTGGTCAAGGTAGACACCAAACTCAGATGAGGAAATGGTGGCCCGTGGCCACAGGGCCGGGAGAACAGAGGCCGGGGGACAGGGCAGGGCAGGGCCAGGACAGGTGCTGGGCGGACAGAGGCCAGAGGTCAGAGCAGGGCGACGGGGCAGGGCCAGCAGTCTGCGCTCCTGACCTGTCCGCAGTAGCCCTCCTATCTCTGTGACTTAGGCTGTTACTGGAGAAAAGGGTCTACGATTCTCGCTCCTGCTCACTGGCTTCTTTAAAATGACACCCACTCCTCGTCCGTGACCAGTGGGTGGGAGCAAGCCGCCCTGGCGGTCTAGGCTGGGGCGCTCTGCAGCCCCCCGGGCCCAGGGTGTTGCTGGGAACACTCTTACGCGATGCCCTGGACCCACATCTAAAACCATTTAGTGAGTACCCAGGGTGGTAAGTCAGCGTGGAGCTTGAGAACCTCTGTCATTTCTTTCATGAGACGAGGTGACCCCACATCACGCCGTGCACCCGTCCACGCGTGGCTTCAGGTATGTGCCGCTGTCACCAGAGGTTTTAGGCATTTTCTGCAGCTCAGAAAGAAATCGTACCTGTTACCTCCCGCCCTAAGCAACCACCAGTCTACTTTGTATCTCCCTGCTCTTCAGCAAGCTCAGAATCCAGTCTGGCTGGTTTCTTTCATTCCGCGTGTGTCGGAGCAGTATCGCACCCCTTTTCCTGGCCGAGTAATATAGTCCAGGCAGGACTGTATCCCACCGTCTGTTCATCTGTTGGAGCGTCAGCGGGTTTCCCATCGTCCACTCTTAGTTGCGATCCTGTTGTAATTTTGTGTCCTGCCCTTCTGTGGGGTTCTGTTTCTTCCCTCCTCCTCAGGACTTGTCTGCACTTTCAAGTCCTGTGCTTCTTGATGGTGTGACATCTTGTAGCTTGTTTGCTCAGGTGATGGATGGCACTGAGCATCTCCTGAGCTGGGGGGCATTTCCCATCTTCTTGGGAGAAATGTCTGCTCAATCTCGTCCTTCGATTGGGGTGTGTTACGAGGCAGAACTCGGTCTTACGTTGTGCACATACCTCCCTGCTCAGATACGAGCTGCAGATCCTTTCTGCCACTTTGGGGCTCTTTCCCCTTTCTCAGTGGTTTTCTTTAAAGCACCAGTTTTTAAAATTTTTATGAAGTTAATCTCTTTTTCTTTTGTGGCTTAAGCTTTTGGTGCGGTCGTTCATCAAAGTCTGGTCATAAACATTTGCCCCATTTTCTCTCAAGGGTCTTACGGTTTTTAGTCCAACACTGGGGTCCTGAGTTACTGTTCAGGAGGTGAGGAGAGGTGAGGGTTCAGTTTCACTCTGCTACACATTCTTAAACAAGTAGTAGATTATAAAGTGCCCAACTTGTATCAAGCGGCGCTTGGCTTCCTCTGTGTGGGCAGATCGGTTGGGAAAAAGGAAGCGGCGAGCAGACGGCGTCTGTGCAGTGACGGCTGTCCTCTCCGGCTGGCCCTCTGCTGGTCGGTCTCTCACGGCCACGGCGCTGACAGCAGGACACGCGCTGCATGCTGGGTTCCACCCGGACTGACTTTTCCGCAATCTAGCATTGCTCCTCCTCTGCTTGCGCTAGGCGTTTGGAATTGGAGAAGTGCACACCAGGCAGGCGTGGGGGAGAGAAACGGGAGGAAGTGACTCACAGCGGCAGGATGTAGAGTCCTCTGACACAGATTTCAGTCTCTCAGTGTGCTCTGAAGGCCCCTGACCCAGTTTCCATCCAGTCAGGGGCTCAGGTTCGATGACAGGGCTTGTCTGATTTTTCAAGAAGGGTTGACACCATTAGCTGTCGGGTGGACTCTGAAGAAGGTGCTGCCTGCATGGAAGCTGACCCCTCTGAATGGAAAAGAGGCGCAAATGGACACTGAGTGGCTGCCTGGAGCGGCGCCACTGCAGGGCGGCCCCGGCGCAGTGCCTGAGCACGAGCTGAAACCCACCTGTCCCCCCCAGGCCGGCCCCGCAATGGTCCCCAACCACGGATTCAGCCCCAGATCTTACTTCTTTGACAACCCTCGGCGATATGACAGCGACGACGACCTGGCGTGGAACGTTGCCCCCCCGGGGCTTCAAGGAAGGTGAGACCCCTCACCCTAGCGCCAGGAGGGCGGGGCAGAGACTCAGACTGATGGAGAGGGCAGAGTGGGGCAGGGTGGGGCCGACTGAAGAGGGGGGCGCTGGGTGCGGCCTCACATCCACCTGCGGCTTCCCGCCTGGCAGCCCCCTTAGGACAGCCGTGTAAACTGTTCTTCTCTGGGCAGAATGGTAACGAAGACAGGCTTTCTTGCAGTAAAAGTCCTGAGGAAACCACCCAAGAGCTCTAAAAAGGATCTTGTTGTAGGGACAGGAGGAACGAGGAGAAGCTGACGGGGTCGCTGGGGTCAGGGCCCGGGGCCGGGATGACCGGCCGCACGGGCAGCCTGGAGTGAGCCCACGGCCAGGCCAGAGCTGCTGCAGTCCTCGTGCCATTACGCCTGTGCCCCCCAAGCTGCGCGCCCCGGGAACCTGCCAGACAGGCCTTCACCCGTCCTGCCAGAGCAGAGAGAACTGGTGGGCCCTCACAGCCTAGGGAGGAGGAACTCCACTGCACAGAGGACCGCGCTCCTCGGCCCGTAAAGAGAAATGAGCGTGAGCCCCTGCCCCGGGCACCGCAGGCCGTTAGCCAGAGCAGCAGCTGTGGGGTGCACAGACCCCAGGGTTCAGACAGATGTTCCGCTGTTGCTTGGCTGACGGTTCTGGCAACTGTACCGAGCTTCAGAGAGTCCGGCAGACGTGTGGCAGTCACGGCACAGCAGTGGGGAAGCTTAACGGGCTTTGGGACGGTCTGCAGTTTGCGAAACATCCTAGCTGCGTCTAGCTGAAGTAACACGCCATCAGTTTAAGCTCGGTGCTTCAAGTCACTGACGTCTCTTTTCTCTTTTAAGTTTTGCTCCAGACTACTATGACTGGGGACAACAGAGCAACAGCTTCCTGGCACAGATCGCAGCTTTCCAGCCAGACTCCGTTCCGAACCCTGACAAGCCATGCCAGAGTAGCTTCAGCTGACAGCTCGCGGGAGACTCCTCACCGACAGCTTCAGCTGGACGGCTGAATTCTGAGCACATCTTTCCTTCAGATGCAGGACTCCCACTTTTCCTTGTTGCAGCTTTCTAATGACTCCGTAGGACTCGGCAGATTTATGAAACCTCACTAGCGCACTAAAAGCGAGCCTGTCTGCCTGGCGGCAGGTGTAATATAAATGTACATCCGTACTTTTATAAAGGTGTATTTTATGTAGCTCAAATAATAATGCTAACCTGGGGGGGGTGTGGTCTTGAGAATGTTATTTCAATAGATGTCTTAGTTTGCACACACTTATGCATAATTCACTTTAAAGATAAACTGTGCGGGGCCCGAGAGTCTAGACTTGTGGACGGCAGTACCCCTCAGTCCTTACCGCTTCAGGCGCTTGGGTTCCGAGCTGAACACGAACGGGTCCTGAGTCGGTCGGTGTCCAGAAAGCCACTGCAAGTCAGTGAGAGCGCTGTGAGGTAGCAGAAGCTCCATCAAGGTCAGACTACAAGGTAACTGGCTCCTCAACAGGTTTCTCTTAAGGCTCAGACAATCCCTCAAAGTATTTCCTAACTTTTGCAGAAGTCTGGGGACTCTCCACAGGGCACTGATGTACATACCCCAGCGATCCCGTTCGCCGGGATGCCTCACACTCTTAAATCTCCTCCTACACCCGTGAGACTTTGCGTTTTCCAGCCCTGTGAAACCTGGCGCCCGTCACTTCAGGATCCCATGTTTCCCGAGCGACTGCAGTCAGGACAGTCGAGGGCAGGCGGCGACGTGCCCAGAGGGGTCAGTACTGCCCACGCCCGAGCTGGACACGCCACGCAGTCACGACTTGCTGTGCAGTCGCCGGCATGTTTCATGACCTGGTTTGTTTGATTCGCCCCGAGTGCAGCCACTGCGTGTCGAACCCGGCGGCAGCGCTCGCGGCATGATTCCGGCCTAGGCCTCACCGAGGACACTGCTGACAGGTCGGCGGTTTCTGAAAACCTCGCTATGCAGCGCCACTCGCGTCCCCGAGCCTCAGTGCCATCCGGAGCATCCGTGTGTGCTGTGCGTCTGTGAGGTGGCCTCGACGGGCCCCTGCATCCATGGCCGTTTTTCTCCCATCCAAGTACTAACCGGGCCCCACCCTGCTTAGCTTCCGAGATCAGACGAGCTCGGGCACGCTCAGGGTGGTGCGACAGAGGCGTCGTGGCTGTTTTCCTGCCAGCAGAAGTACGGTGGCCAGATGGCGGTTCCAGGAGGAGGGTGGTGCTGCCTGCCCAGAAGCCGTGGCCCCGGGCAGCTGAGGAGGGCTGGTGCCGGTGGGTTGGTCCTGCCCAGCGCTGACCCCGCCGCTGTCTTCCCAGCTTGGTCTTCAGGAACGGCTCGTCTCCGGACGCTGGCTTCGGAGAAACCAGTCTCCTGCTTTCGTGGGTGCTGGAAGGCTGCAGTCTCCAGCTCTGGACCTGCCACGCCCGCCGCCTGCCTCGCCTGGGACGGTGGGCCCTGTGTGGCCCCTGGGCCGCCTCGGTAGGTGGGGGGCTTTGGGCCGTATTCCTTGAGGGTCACCGTCAGGGACAATCCTACACTGACTGTTCAGGTGGCCTCGACGTACTGTCAGCTGCTGCCCTAACTAGCGTCAGGATGCCGTGCTGTCCCGCCAACCTGGCCGCAGACAGGAACTCAAAGACGGACTCAGCGGCGCTTTAAACGCCTGTAAGTCGTGCTTCTGGGAAGTTCTGCACCTCTTTGGCATCAAGTCAGCTGAGGGTAGACGTTTTTAAACTCAGAGGGAGAAAGTCACAAGATCCCGTAATATCGCACTTAGCCTGTGACGTGTGAACACTCCACACCGTTGCTGCCCGGAGGGAAACAGCGTTAGCGCACAGAGCAGAGCCTGGCGTTTTCGCAGTAAGGCTGCTGGTGTCTAGCTGCTACTTCTCGCTGGTGAAAGGGCTCCAGTGTTGGCTGGCTTCAGAGTCCCTGTCCGGGATGCCCCTGGCGTCCCAGAACCGGACCTCAGCCATGCTTGTGCAGGGGCTGCTGTGGGGGCGCAGGGCGACGGCCCTTCCTCTTCGGGGCTCACCGGGTGGCTCCAGGTCCCGGGCAGCACAGGGCCGCCCACACACCGCGGCCTGGCTCCGGACGACACGGACGCTTGGGCTGGTCACAGGGAGCTCGCCGCGGCCCAGGGTCCCCGGCAGGCCTGGCCCAGGCGCGTGGGGCCCGTCACCGCTGACACAGCCAACAGGCGCCTGGCGAGGCCTCAGCTGCGGCCTCCGCCGTCCTCCCTCCCTACGACTCCCTCCCAAGGCGGCCGCATGGAGACATCCCTGGGCCTGTGGTCGTGCACAGGCAGAGGCCAGAGCCGACCGCAGGCCCCGGGGCCCTCCCTGCGCTGCGTGAGGGTCCGCTCCTGGCACGAGCGGCCGCGTCCTGGGTGGCTCCACCCCGCTAACAGGACCTGCCGCGCCCTGGTGTGGCCTTCTCAGCCGGCAATGCAGCGGCCACTCCCCTCCTCAGCCAGCCCGAACCCCACCGCTCAGTGGTGCCCCGTGTCCAGGCATCCCTAGCCCCCTCACTGGGCCGGGGGCCAGGAGTGGGCGCCCCCGGCGGGCATCCGACTCGGCAGTGAGGCCCCGGCTCCTGGTGCCTCCCAGGCCGCCGCCCCCGCCAACCTTTATCTGCCACTCGGCTCAGTCTGAGCCACGGCGCCGCTGGAGAGGCCACAGAAAGCCGACCCCAACAGGGGCCACGGAAAGCTGATGGGGACCCTGACAGGGGCCTCCCAGTGCCGGCACCCGTGTGGCTGCCTGGGTCAGGTGCACCCCGAGTGTCCTTCCCCCAGTCCAAGAGAAACGCTTTCTGAATTCCTAACCCCAGTAAGCAAACAAAGCCCTGGACAGCGGCTCACCCGCAGCGCTGAGCAGGCCTCTACCTTCCCCTACGCTGGACCATCACTCTCGGCAGCAAAAGCCAGAACCCACGTCTGCTTCCGGGGCCCCGCCTAGGCGGTGTGGCCGCCAGCTCGCCCGCACCATCCGGTGCACACGGCCCATCTGCACTGAGGACACCTTCACAGGGCTGACCACGCTCACCCATTCACACCCAACGCCGAGAGCTGACATTCTGTGCCCAGGTCATTCTCAACACGAGCCAGACACCCCACCTGGGCCGCAGAGGGCCCTCGTCACGCGGTCACCTCACACGGGGCAGTGTTGTGCCTGCTCCACAACACTGAGCCAACAGCGAGATCCTGGTTTCCTGAAGCTGTCTCCTCAGCTAAATCTTGAGCTGGCGATTTTACCACTACACGCTGCCATCAACACGCCCACTGCCCACTTAGGCCCTTCCTGTTTGCTTATGAGTCACAAACATCCACCTCTGAGACAAGTAATTCATCATGGATTTAAAAAGAAAAAGACTTTTATGTCCAGATAGTTGTCACATCATTCTTACAGGCCAAATCTTGCACAGCCGAGAAGTACAATGTTCCATCTGCAGACACTCCGGTGCCCCGTCCTCAGCCGCCGGGGCACCTGCAGACAGGACACTGCAGTGACTACCAGGCCGCAGAGGCCCTTTTCAGGTACAGCACCCCAAACTGAAACAACAGCGACGTGAAACGCGAAAGGCGCCCCCTTGGAAGAAAGCGGGTGCAGCGGTGGCCCGCACGCGCCCCAGGTCAGAGGTTCCCAAAGCTCATTTGGGATAAACAAGAACAGGTGTCTGGGTGCGGGGACAGCAAGCCAGGGGCAGAGCACGGGCAGGCCCCGAGCAGCTGTGCCGGTCGTGCCAGAGCAGCGAGGGAAGGCGCGGCACGAAGCACCGTTGGGCTCCAGACCTCTGGAGCGGCCGTCGGAAACTGGGAGGGGCGGTGGACGTCAACAAGCGGTACTGAAGCCACTTCTGGGGAGTCAGGTTGGGCTCGTTACTTACGTGTAAACTGCAGGCCAGGATTCACTGCAGAGCAGCCAGCGTAGAGGGAAAAACAAAACCAGAACACGAAAGTTCTGTCAACAGCATGGGTGAATTACTGCTAGAGAGCGAAGACATTCTAGCCAGGACTCATCGTCCAGAAACCGCTCAAATAGATGTTTTAAAAAATTGTCTGGCAGAGCGGCTGTGAATGAGTTCAGCAAACTGAAAAAAATTGCAGCCAAAGCATTAATACCCCAAAAATAATATCCTAGAAATTGATGAAAGACCAACACTGAGGGAGAAAAAGTGGGCAAAGATGAAAAGACAACACACACGCCACTTCCACATAGTAAAAGGTGGTCGACACTACATTAGTATATGATGCTACGCCTAGCAAAATGGCAAAAGTCCAACTTTGCGGTGACATCCGAGTTGGGGGGGGGGTGGAAGCAGGAGCCGCCTGGGACTGTGGGTGAGTTCCCCCCCTCCCCGCCCCCCGGTGGCGGCCGTGTCTGCAGTCTTTCGGAACCACAAATGCATCGGGCAGTTTATCACAGGAGCACACGTCAGACGACCCACATGCCCACTGCAGGGGTCTGCAGGGTTCAGCATTGCACATTCACCACCGGGGACGGCAAGCAGCTACTACGGAAAACAAAAATCTGTACACTCCCTGTGACGGGTGGAGAGAAACCTGCGGAGGGGAAACACGACCCCACGACAGTATTTGTATCATGCCACTCTGGGTAAAAGTGCAGGAAAAACCACACCTGCATTTGTCTGTGTATGTCTAAGTCTGGGCAGGAAGGTGAGAGGCCACCAGCAGGCCTCCAGGGGGTGGAGGGCGGCGCTGGCCCTAGGGTCGGAAGGAACGTCCCACTGCGCACCGTCCTCTACCTCTTGGCTCATGAGCACCTGACTTACCTGCTCGAAGTCGAAGTCTAGCCAAGACCCCTCTCGACTCGGCACAAACCGGAAGATGTGGGTGGACGCAGGGCGGCGTCGGGCGCACGGCACGCTGGGGGCTTCTGCGGCAGTCTCTTGCCTCGGACGCCAGGCCCATAGTGTGGGCTCCGGGGCGCAGCTCAGCCTCACTTGTCCGCAGCTTCCTCGTTTGTAAAACAGAAGCCCGTGCTGCTGGGGGCAGTGCGGTGTCCACGCAAAGCCCCTCGCCGCGGCTGGCTGCCGGCGCTTCTGTTTATATGAACCAACTTCGGGCAGCTAATACATTTTCTCTCAACTGTCACCAGACCCTCCTACCACAGAAGTAGACCCTGTCAGGGGAGGGGCAGAGAGGTTGGAGAAACACTGACTCGGTTTCCAGACTCTGGTAGGTGCAGCAGCACACTGTTTAGCATTCTACTCCAAAGTGAAGCTGCACCTGTAATGTCACTCAAACTAGGCAGCGTGCCACTGCGGGGGGGGGGTCGGGGGGAGGGGGGTCTGCACTGCTCTTGGCCCAGTCACTTCCGTGGCACCATGTGCTCCTTCCGTGTACACTGGTGAGTACTATGGTTTCTGCAGGCGCTTCAGTTTGCAACTGTCAGCTGCTTCCAGATTTCCAGCTGATGGCAATGCTGATGAAGATCAAAACAGCTGTCCTGACATACAGTGGCACCTAGGGAAAGCTGGAACACGCAGCACAGTGACAAATACACAACCATCCCGCTCTTCGCAAGTGCCGAGGCATTCGCAGCGTTAACGTGATCATAAAACATTTGACTTTCAAAAACTGAAATTTGTTACTGCTCTGTCTGATCCTCCCCATCTCCTAAGAATCAACACAAGGGAAACATTCAAATTGTACCAATTTTAATATATATTATTTCTAACGTACATAGATGCCATTTAGGAAAAATATAAACTCATGCTCTTGAAGGAAGGAATACATTCCTTTTCTTCACTTTCATCCCTTCATCAGCTGGTACAATCATTTCTGTCGTTTAGATTATCAAGTCCTGAATTTTTAAATTAGGTGATGCGGTAAGAAAAGCCACGCAGCGTCAGCTCCAAGCATCCCCGCAACCGCTCAGTCCTCCGCTCGCCTCACTACAAGTGGTGTGTGGCTGGAAAGGCATCTCTATCCCGAGGCGCACCAAAAACATGGCCAGACTCGAGCACATGCCTATAGCTGACACAGTCATTTATGAAATGCGAGCATGTAGCCCGCCACCCCACGTAGTTCTTAGGAAAATAAAGTCAGTCAAACAAATCCCAGCTTGCGAATACTTCACTTATTTTCCTGGTGCTGAAAAAATTTGTTAAAACCCTGGAAAGAACTTTACCCTAACCAGACCTTTTCATTTTCTAGAAGCCACTCTACTGTACAAATTTTCCTAAGTTTGAAACACACACACAATAAAGAAAACAAACAGGCAGTGACGGCAGACGACCTAAGACGTTCTCCAGAGGCCTTATCTGTAACTGAGGGAACAGAGAAGTGACGCTACCAGGAGAGTTTCAAACTTACAGTAACAGATAAAGTGCAAAACTGTCGCATTAAACTCTCAGTGAACACAAAACGGTGAGTTTACCAGCCGGGCTGCGGGCCCGCTCACCTCTGAGACAAGCTTACATGCGCCACCTCCCCACCTCTCAACAGTTTTATCCCTGGAAGTGAGGCGCGAACACGGTCAGGGTGGGCAAGCAGCCTTTCCCTTTCCAGTTAGCGACCCGCCACCCCACCGTCAGCAACACCGTCTGGCCCTGGAGGTCACGCCTGACGCCAGGCGAATGCCATCTCTCTCCAGGCAGCTCTCTTCTTGCGGCTGGCTGAATTCTTTTAAGAGAGGGTGAGCCATGGAAGTACAATTTAAAACACATCACTGAGTCCTCACTGGACTCACTTCAGACTCGGGCAGGGACAGGGGTTAAGAGCACTTATTTACGTCACGGAAGGCTGACGGGTCTGAGAGGGGCCGTGCTGTGCGGCACCTCTCTGCGGCACAGCTCTCCAGGTGAGCCACGCCAGCTACTAACACTGTAAAAGACCCCCTGTCTTAAATATGGACGGCACTTAAGTCCAGGTGCGGGAAACGGTGGTCTGGGACACGTAAGTCAGCGGCCGGCGGATGCTAACATGGGGACGCTTGTCTGCGTGAACGAAAACGAAAAGGTGGGAAAGGGAAGCTTATCGGAGGCTTGAACCGACCCCTCGTGTAAATGTGCTAAAGAAGGAAGTCAGACTGAGAGGGGATGGCACAGGCCGTAATCTACAGTAAAAATTTTAAAAAACACTGGCTTTAAAATAGTAATTTCTATGGATATGTTTAAACTCACATTATAAAGTCACATGATTCCATTCACATTTTATCAAGGTGGTGACTACTAAATATTTTTTCTTTTGTTTTCTTAAGTGAACATTTATAAATTGGGATGGGACAAAGACAAGCAAAATGAAAGGAAATGCAGAGCTCAAAAAGCTGAATTTTAGGTTATTCAGGAGCCCTGATTCACGCCCCTCACCCGGGCAATGAGGCGGGGAGCACAGGGCAACACCTGTGCCCTAACTGACGTGGGGTCTCAGGCCGAAACGGCAGCAGCAGGTAGCATCTTAAATAAAAACAGTGATATTGGACTCCTGGGGGTTCCTAGCACCTGCTATTGCAACGAACTGCCAAGCTGCCATCACGCTGACAGCTGCAGGCAGTTGCAGAGGTGCTAATGTAGGAGTCTTGGCTAAAACACACTCAGGCATCACTGAAAATTCTGATCACTGATACAGTCTGAAGCATCATTTGTTCCCTTATTGCTCCTCTAGTAACAGCCTACTGATATCGTTACGAGAAGGGAAAATAATCATTTTGTTTGACAACTGGAAACAGTAAATCTATTCTAAGCAAACAATGCTCAACAGATAGAAAGCAGGAAATTAAAACACAATTAGTATAACTTACATGTTTTCAAAGCATATACTTCATTTATAAATAGCTCTACGTGGTAATCAACTAAGAATCATAAATACTCTAGACATTTACAATTTTTCTTTAAAGAGTTCAATATTTTTGAAGTCTTTGAAGATCAGTCTCCTGCTGAACTATCTGACCAAGTCTTCATTCACACAGTTACTTTATGTCTCTAAGTGGACACTGAAAAGCCTTTATTACCTACTGTGCTGCAATAAGACTTTAAAATTCTGTAATTCTCTGATACTTGTGGAAAGCCTGTAGGAAGGAAAGAAAAACATATTAATATTAATACAGCTCATATGATGTTTCAAATTGCTGACAGTCACTGGGCTCTAATTTGGAAGCAACACTGAGCACAGAGACTGAACGCCGCGGCTTCCGCTGCCCCAGTAAGAATGCTTGATCACTGGCGATGAGCAGAGCACAGAGCCTGGCTCTCCAGTCTGGGCGCAGCAGTGGGCAGGATGCCGGTCACTTACCAACAGCCTCCTTAGTGGTGGCAGCGCGCTACGAGTAATTCATAACAAAGAATTGCAAATCACTTACAACTATCTAACTGTTCCCCAGACTCATTAGTTTGTTTTATAATGCCACTTTCAAGAGGGTGAGGACTCCGTATGCCAACTGCCGAGCCCCCGGGCCCTACACTTGCTGGTACTTGGTGGTCTATCAAGAATGAATGAATGGAATGTTTCTGGGCCCAGGCCAAGAAGTCAAACTCTGAGAAAAGTACTTGTATAAGCTGAGTTACCCTTAGAATATAAAATTCAGGGTTGATAGGCAAAGACCTAATGTTTTTCCATCTAGTAGTTTGGGTGCAGCAATATACATCGTTAAGGTTCTCTAAGTCCTAAGTAAACGACATCCGCTCTGTATCAAGGGCTCTGGTTATTCCAAGTACTGGTCTGAGTGAACAGCAAATAATCTTGTAACTGTCAAAGACCCTGCCAAGACAGATAAAAGTCAACCCTGGTTTCACAGTGTAGGGCCTGAGGCTCAAAGAAATGATTTCCCAGGTGGGTGCTAACTGGACTCTGGCCCAGGGCTGTCAGAAAGCATGTGCCCTCCTCAGGCTCTTTATACCTGTCAGTTGTATGAGTCACGTAAAACCAGCTACTACTGGGCACCTCGGGACATTAAGGGGCTAAAAGGTCTCCATTAGGGAAAAATCTGATTATTAAAATAAATGTGTAAGATAATAGCTCTCTATCTCAAAGTTTCTGTTTCAAAAAACCTCCCAAAATACATATAAAAGCATGGTGAGAAGAGGCCAAGGCCCACAGGGAGAGACATTCAGAACAAAAGGTGCACACTTGGACAGCTGTACTTAGACGCAGACAGGGCAGAGGGCAGAGGCCTCAAAGGTCACAGCCTGCTTCTCTGAAGCACGAACTCCACCGTCTGGGCGAGCCCCGCCCGCCCTCACAATTCCCCACCCCAGGGCGCCCTGTGTGCTTCAGGATCATGGCAGCGGAGATGGCGGGCGGAGAGCACAGGCTTCCCAGGATGCGCACACAGCCTTACCGGCCGAAGGCGTTTAGGAGGGCCACCACCTCCTGCCGTGTGAGCTGGAAGCCCTTGGATGGGCTGTGCTCTGGGAGCTTCTGGATCTCTCTCTCCGAGAACAGTATCTTCAGGGCAGTCCCCAGGCCCTGTGTCTGTGGAAAACACAAGCCACCATCAGGTCTCACAGGCTGCAGCTGCTCGGCCCTGGGGAGGGCCCAGCTACCCGATGGTTCGCGGCGCAAAACCCTGTTTCCACTTCCTCAGACACTGAACGCAGCCTGGTTCACCCTGGGAGTAGCACGCCAGGCCCCTCGCGTGCGCCAGGCGCTCTTCACAGCCCGGCAGGCCAGGGCTTTTGCTCAGCCTGCACACCCCGCTTCTGAATCACCACGCCGGGGACAAGCCCGCTGCCACAAAGTAACTGCCTCTGGGCCTTCTGCGACTCACTTTGTGGCATCAACTGTGCCAGCTCACTCTGTTAACCACCAACCGCAGAGGCAAGCACGAAGCCACCTACAGCAGCAGAGTCAACAAAGCCGAGTCACTGACCAGAGCAGGGGGGACAGCGTGAGGCGTGCGAGAATGACGGGGCCTTGCGTGAGCCTGCTCCTGGGGAGACAGGAAGCGCGCCGGCCCACGCTGCACTGGCTCAGTGAGTGGCCAGCACGAGCTGGTACAAGGGTGGAAACCTAAGGTCGGGCAGCCTCGCGCAGTGCCACGTGCACACCTGCAGCTTCCCCCACAGCCGGCACTTGTCGCACCCGACGCAGTCCATGATGCGGGAGATGTTCTTGAAGTGCAGCCGGAACTCCTCCTGGGGTGGGGAAAGTTCATTCTCGTTAGACTTTTAGAATTAAACTGCGTGAGTCTGAGAAGAAATAAAGTCCAGTCAGCAGTTGCGGTTTCCAACAGAACGGTGACAAGGCAGCTGCATCTGTGCAGCATAACTCGCACTGGAACAACTCAAGGCCACTAAAAAGCAGAACCTTCTGCCGGCTCTGCCTGTTCCACTCTCACTGTCTCCGGTGGGGGGAGCCTCTCACATCCCTCCCCAGCTCTGGTCTACACCTAGCCATGCACATAAATAAATTTTTTAAAAATCCCATGCTGCTATCAGTGTGGCCAGCTTTTCGCTGCGGGGCTGCTCAAGGCAGAGAATCGACCTGGGCCCTGCTGTATTTAGTGCACCGAAGTGAGGTGAGGCAGCGCCTACACGGACCAGCGGGCGCCCTGGCGGGCGCCCTGGAGAGCGGCCTGATGGCTCTGGGAGGCAACGCCTGGGCGGGGAGGCACCATGACGGGACACAGAACCCCTCTGCTGTCCATCCTCATGCAGCTCATGTCCTTGAGGACAGATGGAGAAGTGGATTTAGGTTCTTCTTAAAAAATAGCCAACAAAATTCCTAGTAGTTTGCAACAAAAACAGTTGCAAAATCTTATGTCGTTTTCATCCACAAAAAGATAAAGGGCACAGTTGCCCTGCCTGGTACAGAAGGGCGTCCTGAACCCAGCAGCGACCTGCAGAAACACTCAGCAGACAGGGCACTACGGAGCCGAGCACGACACCTTCTGAAGCACCATGACAGGGCACAGCCTTCCGAGCCCAAGTACGCTGCCGCTGGCCAGCGTTCCGTGTGAGCAGCCTCAGAAAGCCGGCCGCGGGACTCCACCGCTACTGGTCTAGTGTTCTGAGCATGCCCCAGCTCAGTGAGCCCAAATGCGTCTCAGAATTCCGACTTCCTCAGATTGCGGACTGTATGAATAATATTCAAACAAAGCAGGAGAAAAATACGACAATTATTCTTAGGTTAGTTCGGCTCAGGTTTTGCTAGCAGGCTAACTGGCGTCAGACCTGAAGCAAGTCTTTCCCACTTCAGAGCCCCGGCTCAGGCCCTTGCTGTTCGAAGGGGCCGCAACAGAGCGGAGGCCTGGGGGGGCTTCATCGAACCGGAACCCCCCTCCGACCCCCAGGCGCAGCCCTTTAGCCTTTTCATCGTCTGAAGAATAAAACCATCATAGCTGCAAAGCCGTCATGTATCATCAAGCAAACGTGAGGAAAAGAAACGGTTCACTGCTCTCAGAGGCGCCAGCTTACGCTTCTGAAAGCTGTACCAACACCACCTCGCTGGCCCCAGCTGGGTGGGCCAGTGTCTCTCACGTCGCTCCGGAGGCGCTGGGAAGGGGCCACACAGGCACCGCGACATGAGAACCCACCCGAGCCGCCGGCCTCAAGGAGCAGGTGTGAGGCGGCTTTGGGGGCTGCTTCACAGGGACGCCAATCAGACCACGCCCACACGCAGAGCTGAGGGCGCAGCTCACGAAGGCCGCCCTGGACGCAAGCCCCCTCACCCCCACCCCGCGAGACGCTTTACCTTCAGGGACTTGGCCCCTTGTCTGTCGCCGGCGAACATGGACTTCTCGTCAAAGTGCATGGGGAAGGACCTGGCGGGGCGAGAGCAGCACGCTGAAGCACTGGCGCTGAAGCACTGGCGCCACAGTCCCGACAGCTTCCCGCCCCCAACAGCTGAGGCCTAGGCTAGCGGGAAGATCGCCCCCAGGCGAGTCCGAAAGCCTAAGGCGGGTGAGGGTGGCTCGCGATTCGTCAGACGGTGACATTTTACATTACAGAGTCACCAAAATCCATGGGAACAGATACAGCTCTTGACGTTCTAAAAGGATTTTAAAATTCAATCCATAATTGACTTAAATGCTTGTGAATGTGGTTTCCCCCGCTTATTTTAAGAACCAGTCAAGTTTCACAGCCAGTCTGTTTAAAAAGGTTATGTCCTGGACAGACTGATGTTGCCTGGCGTGTCTAAACGCTAACACATTTCAATGCTATCCGAGTCTAAAAGCAACTGGAACGGTACAAAACTAGTAGAAAGAACATGACATACCACTAAATTTTGATACTACCTGAAATTTAAATTTTGATTTTGAAATCCAGACTCTCACAAGCAGGGAAGTTTTGCCAACATATTTCAAACCAGACTCTTTCGAGTAACATTTTTAGAAGCCGTTTAAATGTCACTGTCCTAGCGGCCACTTCCCTCCTCAGCTCTGAGCTTCCCCCCTCTTAACTTCCAGAAGCCCGTTTTCTTGCGATTCCAGTCCCGCCTATTTCGAATAAAGGAGGTGAGCGTCAGGTCCTGGCCAGTGACTCTTACTTTGTGTCTTGAAAGATGTCCAGCAGCAGGGCCTTGGTGTCGGCGTCCTCGTCCATGTTTCCAGTGTACAGATCAACGACAGAGCGCTCGAAGTACGGCGCCACCTTGGACAACGCGCGAAGCTCAATCAGGTACAGAAAGTACAGGTTCTTCAGCCTTCTAGGACCTTCTCCCTTGGTTTCCACAGGGTCAAAGCGGCGCTTGAACTCCTTGATGTTAGGCCCCCAGCTAGGCTTACCCCAGGTTTCTAGAGAGAAAGGGCAATAGGGCGCATGCACTCACAGCCTCTTCCTTCAAAGGACATGCATTTCCTGCCCCAACAGATCTTACGTTAACAGCAAACAAGCTCTACCTCGCCATCTGATTACCTTCCAAAAGATAGTTTGCACACAGATGCAAGTTGATACTAGCATGCAGCCCCGATATAAGCTTGTAGAAGACTCTCTTCTCCAGACACAAGCCTATTGAGGAAAACGTTAAAAAGAAATCACTTTTAACAAGAAAACGGTTAAGACCACATCACAGAGCTTCAAAACGGATGTGCATGGGCCAGCAGGATGCACGGCAGAGCCGCAGCCAGATCCCTTGTCCTGGGAATGGCCACCCCAAGGACCAGGAGCACAGCATGGGCAAGGGGGCGTCGAGGAGAGGGGGCTCCCGCGCCCGGGGGGTGTCGGGGGGGCACAGAGGTGTGGAAGCTGTGGGGAGCTCTCAAAAGTGAAAATGGAACCATCATGCGCCTGCAAGTCCATCTCTGGGCCTCTGCCTGGAGGAAATACACGCGCTGACCTTGGAAGACGGGGTGGGGTGGGGAGGAGGGCGGAGGGGAGTGGAGGGCCACCGCTCCTCCCTCAGCGAGGACCAGGTAAGGCAGGCAAGGGGCAGGGGCATGGGCAGCCAGAACTGCCGAGGTCTGAGCCAGAGGCATGACCAGGCCCTCAGCTGGTCTCCAGACAGCCGCACTCTCCACCCAGCCAGCCGCGCTCTCCGCCCAGGCAGCCACTTCGGAAGTGGCTCTCCACTTCCTCTTAAGCAGTGCTGCTCCTGCTTCCTCCTCTTCCGCTCAAGTTCATGTTGAGCGGCTGGCTACGCGATGCGATCTATGATTTTCCTTTCACCAATGGCTACGCACACTGTAACGGTCTCACATGGTGCTTGGGGACTGTTCAGCGATCGTCAAGGGAATCGTCCACAGCACAGTGGGTGAAGCTGCACTGTCACTGCCTCTCCCGCCCCCGAGAGGAAGCTGGGTCTCGGAAGAGTCAGTTAGGCCCTGGGCGGAGGCAGATGCCCCACTCAGAGCCCTCAGCCGGGAGGCGCACAGGAAGAGCCACAGGTGGCCATGGCCCCATTCTCATCCTCGCTGCCAGCGCATGGGGCTGGCCACAGACGGGCCACTTTCCCAACTGTGTCTTTAGAACAAAGGTCACTGAAGCAGAGCATTCCTGCCACTAGGGCACTTCCTGCCAGTACTTACCCCTCAACAGCATTCATCAATGGTGAATATAGGAACGCAGGTTTTTAAGAACAAAAGAAATCATAAGGTAACATGACTGACTAAACAGAAACTAGAATTAATTAGGTTCTCTGTGGAGTCCCCGTCTAAGGTCATGGCCATGAAAGATCTGTTTTCCTATAGCACTCAACTGCCGTTGATATATTTTAGTCCTTGGTTTGATTAACTAATGGCAATTTGATTATTTTTTAAAAAGCAGCAGATACCGAGCCATGAGCCCAAGTTGTTAAAAATCCTAGAACATTTCATCAAATAGTAACATTTTACATTCAACACTAACAGCTGTAAGAAAGAAAAGTACTTAAGATATTGGGATCTTTATTGCTTTAATTCTTTAAACAAATTTAGACTATCTTAACGTGTATTGATGTCAACAGGCCATTCAACAATAGAATTTGTTCCCTCTGAATTCAAGCATAAACTCTTCTCAGTTTCATATGCTGAAATGAGAACTTTGCCCCCAAATGTCTCTACTTGAAACCTATTTGCATAATGGTTACTAGAAAAGCAGTTCAGGTAAGCATTAAACACGGATGAAAGTCAAACTGGGGACAGCTGTGACAATGTAGAGACAGTATCCTTATACATTTTGCTTTTTGGCTGACCAAGATGCTCAAATTTGCCAAATAAATTTATCCAAACATAATAACCTAAACCACGTTCATTTCTGTCAAACACTGTCAAAATTAATGGTCTGGATAATGAGTCCTAAAGCTTACAAACGAGTTTGAACAGATCACAATTTTTTATGAGAAGCCACATGAAACAGACTTGAAGTTTACCTTCTAGCCAGGTGTAGAATGATTCTCCTAAAAGAAAGCCACACAGGGAATTGGGTTATTTTCCATGATCATTTATAAATGAGTGAATTAAGTCTACAAAATATTTCTTATGACAGATTAGGAATATCTCTAGAATGCCCACTGCTTCATGTGGAGAAACAGACAGGTGATTCTAAAAAATAAAGCCCCACAGTAATTTCAGTAACTTTACAAAACTATTCTTGTGAATTCTGAGAAAAAAATTTCAGACAAAAAAGGAGGTTTCAACACTTACAAGCCTGGAAGGAAAAAGCAAACGATCTTACTGGGCTTTCACTGACTATCTCAGCCCTTTTAAAATCCAAGAAAAAAACTCCTCAATTTCCTGAACCACTAACTCTAGGCATATTTCTTCATTTATGTAAGATTACTACTAAGTTTTAAGGAATTTTTAAAAATCCTTTAATTTTCAAGATAATTCTCCAGAAAAGTTCATGACTAGCAGGGAAGGGTCTGACTATCTGTGCACAGAGGCTGAATGCACTTCTCCTAGCGCTGAACTGGTTTTCTCCATGAAAGAAATAGTCATCAACAAACACCCAAACCATCCACGGACTTCCCAAGTCTTGTTTCCTTATTCTGAGAAGAATCAAAGCATAAGAGGAACGGAACACATAGCTGTGCTGAGAAAGGGGTTGGGAGACCATGAGAAATCAGGGTGCGACTTTCCTCCCCCAAAGTCTTCACGTTTCGCAGAACAAACCACACACCTTTCCACAGGCCCCCAGAGGCCCGCCGCCCCCAGGCCCGCTGCCCCTAGGTCCGCCGCCCCCTTGGCAGTCTGCTCAGCACCCTCTGTGCCCGCAGCCCGCGGCCCAGGCCCGGAATGTGGCCTGCGCTCAGACTCTGACTGAAGCCACTTCCACACAAATCCCTCCTGCTGCTACAGGGTCTCTCCAACGTGCCTGCCTTCCCTCTCTCACCTCCTCGGCCCACGCTGTTCCTCCAAGTAGCACATACCCTCGTCCAATTCTCGGCCCTAAATTCGCCTATCATTCAAAATACACCTCGAGCATCGCCTCCCCCAGTGAGATTTCTCAGGCACCCCATGAAGTACGTGCTGTGCCCACTGGCAGGGCCCTCGCACCCCCGACGTTCTACATAACGCTTCCGTATCGTCCTGCCAGTGTGTCAGCTCCTAGATGACGGTGTGACTTATGCTTCTCTCTCTTCCAGCCCCTCACTGCTTCTCAACACGGATACGTGAACAATTTGAAAGAGGTTATTTTTGTTGCTTTGAGGCAACTTAGGGTCAGTATTCACTCAGTAATCTGTAATAACCAATTGTTGATAAATTACTATTCATCAGCTCAAGCATGGCAACAAGTAATGCTACAAATTTCCAAGTCAACAGGACAATAGTCACCGAGACAATCTGGTAAAGCTAGATGACTTCTTTCCACTTCCTCTGAACATTCAAGTAGATTAGAGTCACTAGAAAATGGGGAACTTGGAAAGTGGTTCTGGTTTCTAAAGCAAACACTTATGTAAAGTTATCTTTTTAACACAGCCCGACTTTCATTAAAGAAAATAGTAACTCAAGTATGTTTGGTCCCACTCACTGGTGGCTATTTTTTTGAAAACATACTTTCTTTTGAATAGATGAAAAATCTAATTTTAATCATTAAATTTTTTTCTACCCTTAAGGCAAATAAAAGAGTTTTACTCACCATCATCTTCTCCTGAAAGAGAAAAGAACAGAACTTAGAAGATGCCACACAGACCCCGGCATCTTGTGCTCGACATGTGGCCATAAAAGGTAGTGTTGCATGGCACCATCAGCTGGACTCGTCCTGCACGCAGCTTCTGAATATGAACTGAGCCCACAGAGCACAGACATCCACACACTTTCCACATACCCCCAGGAGGCCAGAGCTCAGCAAGGCCCGCCCTGCACTGGCCTCGGCCTCGGGCCTCAGGCTCCTGGCCTCTTGCAGCCCTGCCGGGCGCCGGCCACAGGCTCCTCAGCACAGCGCAGGGTGCCCCCTCCCCTGCTCGGTGGAGTCGCCCCCACTCGGTCACCTGGCTGCCAGTGGGCGCCTGACTCCCTGCAGCGGCGGCTGGGCGGGCCTGGGGATGCAGATGGTGAGGCCCCCAGGCCACCCCTGTGGGTCCCCCCAGGACGCTGCACACAGCCAATACATATGTGACATGCGTGCTTCATGCTCCGCCACGTTACCCAGGCCGTGCGGCCAGGCTGCGCCCCAAGACCCCGCGCAGGCCTGGACACCGCAGGCCCAAGGGACAGACGCGGAGGTCTTGGCACCACAAGGCGGATGGGGTGAAACGCCAGAAAGTCAAGACTCTCCCGACCAACGCTGGCCACAGACACCTACCTCGGCCGGGTGCCAGGGGGTTCAGGGGGCGGTAGACGGAGCGGGGCCTGAGGAGCAAGTGGGGCGCGGCGTGAGCGCCCGGGGGAGGCTGCACTGCCCCGCGGGGAATCAGGTTCTGCCCCCCCAGCTGTCCCCCTCCAGCCGCCCCCCAGCACCCCCCACGTTACTTGAAGCAGTTCTCCTCGTAGATGCTGTTCCACACCCTCCAGGCCGAGGAGCCGCGGTAGCCGGTGTAGCGCTCGGGGTTCAGCCGCAGGTCCACGTACTGCGCCGCGGGCGACCGCTCGTCTGGTCAGGGAGGGCGAGAAGGACACGTTGCGGCCAGCCAGGCAGGCAGCAAAACCCGGGGGGGCGGGGGGGGCGGCTGGCTCGGCCGGGCCCGACTGTGCCCACCCAGCCCGGAGGAAAGAGGTTGTCTCCTTTCTCTGGCCGGTGCCCGGCTCTGAAGCGCCACCTCCCCTTGGCACGTGATGATTAGTCCACAAGCTTCACCACAGGATGAACCAAACTAACGCAATCATGTGTTTTCTGTGGCTTCTTGTCCTTATCTACACTACCTTGACGCACCTCAGCACACCTCAATGCCCCTGCACCTAAACTCACGCCGGGCAACGTTCTGCCAGCATACACTATATTAAAAATAGAAACCAATATTACCTCAATAAAATTTTTACTAAAAACAGGGATTTCCTTTAGATCTTCAACTTGTGAAATGAAATGGATAAACAACGCTGTGGTTCAAATTTGATCATTCACAGAACTACACAATGCTGTGGCTAAAAAATTTTACAGTTAGTAGTTTATTTTTACTAATAACACTGAAAGGCTCTTGTCTCTCAAACCAACATATAGTACGCAAAACTTCAAGAACATGCTGAAACATTTAAAATTAAATAACCACTCTTGTGTTGAAGCCCAAATGAATGTTTTTAGATCTCAGCTATTTGGACATTTTGTTGTTGTTTGTAAAGGGATGGTTTTCTTTTTTTAGATTTTTTTATTTATTTATGCATATAAGAGGTGGGGTACAGGCCAGAGGCAGGGCAGGGAGGGTGCGAGGACGCCCCAGAGACAGAGCGGGAGCAGAGCAGGCTGCAGGTGCTGCAGACAACTTCACGGTGCCCAAACGGAACCCTTGCACCACCAGAAGCCCAAGGGACGAAAAGATACAGGAAACTGGTTTAGTCACCGAAGTTCATATTCTGGGTCTATATGACAGGGCAGCTCGTGCTTTCGCACCTACAGAGAAGCCATGCTGACCATGCTTCAAGACCTAAGACCCTCATCACAAGCCTGGAATACTATGGACATTGGCCAAATTTGGTGTCATGATTATATCGCATTGGCACCTGACTTAAACAGAGGCCAAGTATGTCTCAGACAGTCCCCTCACTGCCTGACAGGATGTTTTCATGTAAGCTGACAAGATCCACAGCACATTGATGACCGAAGATCACGCTTACACAAAGCATCTGGGGAAAGTGGCATGCCGACCGTGCCTCAGAAGCAGCACACCTGGACACTGACGTGAGAGGAGACACAGAACGGCGGCGTGTCGCCACTGTGCTCGCCGCGTCTGCCTTGTCAGCACGGGGGCCGCTGTGGAGAGCACTGACCCCAGAGCAGCGCGACACTGTGGCGCGGTGGTTTACGATGGACAAACCAAAGCTTTCAGAAATGGATTGCTCGAGATTTTAAAAGCACTTAAAAAACCTTAAAAATACAGAGCCAAATGAGAAAGTTATTAAAGGTGCATAGTGGAAGTAAAACATTAGTTACAATCCACTGGTTTTCCATCTTTGATTTCTTTGTGCTGTCCTTGAGTAAGTTCAGCAGCAAAGCTGCTGGAGGTGCATGGTCCGGCGTCATGGGCCGGCCACTCGCTGGCCGTCTCTGGCCAGTAAAGGCGGCGGTGAGTGCAGCGCCTGTGTGTGCCCTCCTGGGCGGCTCTTAGACCGGCGCCGCCAGCTTCAATGGCCAATGAGAAAACAGATGCCAGGCACTGACGTGACCTACTTACGGGAGCAGAGCAGAAGAGTGAAGTCGGCGATGGCAGCTTTTTAACTACTTTCTTAAAACTCACATTCTCAGTGCTGTTCATGTGTGTGCCTTGATTCAATCAAAAGTTGTGTAAAAATTTCAGTATTCTTGCATACGACGAAGGTGTGTGTTGCTGACCGCGGAAGGGCTGGGGGGTTGCAGGACAGGGCCATGTCCGCTCTGCTTTTTCTTTCTGCAAAGAAGGTTTATGGGGCCGGAGGCATCTTCACCTGCTGACACGCCGATTTCTCACTACCCTGGCAGACAGTTTTGACAGAGGTCACATGGTCCGTTCACAGGAGCCAGAGCTCTTCAGCCCCCACGAGCAGGTGCCCCAGGGGCTCACAGCCAGAGGACCCCCACCCCGCTGTGAGCCCAAGCGACGACTTCCTGGGCTCTGCGCAGCAGCGGTCACCGAGCAGACGGCTCCCTCTGCACCTAACTGTATTCTCCACCTTTTATGAAGCTGCTGCTCAGCCTTTTCCCTCTGGCCATGCCAACCGTTCTGAAGGATGCAAAGCGCCCCACGGAGTCAGCACCTAGTCAAGCACCTGGCTTCAGGAACCGCTAGCTCCATGCTTTCTGCTCCTCAAGTACTTTCTTCCCAGAGGACTTTCTTTCCACAGCTGTATTCTCAGAACATAATGGGAGTATTTTGCTCGTGGACACATGTAAAGGCTGGTATGGAGCCAGGGTCGCCTACAGCCTCGCCGCCAGCTCTCCCCCGCTGCCACTCACTCGCGCTGAGGCGTGACTGGCTCGGGTAAGGGAGAGCGTCGTTCCTACAGCTCACAAGCAGCCGCGCCACAGACCATTTAACACAACAGCTTTCAGATGTGC